TCTTAATTATAAATTTTAAATTAGCTTACAAACAATAGGTTTCCGTATAGGATTTTCATCCATACTTCATTTGGCTTGATTCCCTGGTCTCTCCCTTCCCTGCCTCGTCTTTCCCACTATACCCTTTCCCCCAGTGCTCCTCCTTCCTCCTCCCATTTGCTCTCTGTCTTCTCTGCCCTCCCTTAGTCTCTTTCTTCTAGTTTTTTTGACCTCTACCCTTTTCTTCTTGGATACACATATTTAACAGAGGCTGAGATCTGTGTATGAGAGAACATCTGGCTTGAGCCTGGGTTACTTCACTAAATGTTTTCCAGATTCATGCATTTTCCTGCAAATTTCATTGTTTCTTTGTACAGATGAATAAAATCCCATTGTGTATATGTACCACATCTTCCTTATCGATTCTTCAGCTGATAGATATGTAGGCTGGCATTATTTCTTGCCACTGTGAAAAAATGTCATAGGATGTGGCAGGCATTCTTTGGGAATATGCCTAGGAGTGCCAAGGTTTTATTAAAGAGACTTTCTCCCACGTATCTGTTGACAGTAAGTATGGAGGGTTTTTTTTTTTCCTTAAGACTTTCTTTTCAGTGTGATAGAACATGTGTTGTTTTTATTCCAGTACTTTGCTATTTTATTATAGCTTTTTAGTATATTTTGAAGCTAGAAAGTACAGCTTCCATTTTTTTTTGTTTTGCTATTTTTTTATGACTTCATATGAGTCTTTAGATTTATTTTTCAGTGTACTGTAAAAATGTCACGGGTATTCTGTGGGACTGGATCCAGGATATCTTTGGGAATCTTTCTTCAATACAGCTCAGTCTCTGCCTTTTATTTTCCTTTTCCCCGAAGGAAAAAGATGGTCCCACTTATGGGAAAAAAAAAAAAAGGAAATCCCTCGCTTCTTATGAGAAACAACAGAAAAATCAAAGATGAAGAAAAAAATCTAAGAAACTATTAATATAATAAGTTAGTATGCTTTATTCATCCCTTTCTCCTTTTTGAGATGTGGGTCCTCACTACATAGCCCAGGCTGGCCTTGAACTCACACTCCTTCTGCTTAGGCTTCCAAATATTTCTTCACTTTTGGGGAACAGTTTTCTCTAGGTTTAGAATATTATGTTGCTAAGGGCTCACAACACAGCCCCAGCTTGTGGTGATGAGTCTCCTGCCTCTACCTCCCTAAGTCCAAGCCTTACACACTATATGACTGTATATTCAAACAAGTAAAAACCCATCCTTTATCTTGATGCTGCTCTAGCAAATTTCAAAGAAACAGCTTGATTCTTCCCTTCAAGGTATCTGTGTAGCAAGTTGGACTGTTCGTATGACATTCTTGTGGGGAAAAAAAAGGCTGTACCCATAAGCAGAGACTGTTGGTACCTTTCTGTTAAGCAAACCGAAGATATTAGACCCTATCAGTCAGAATGAGGCTGAACTCAGACACATGGAGACTGTCACCTGTCACACACACACAACGGGAAAGCTAGGTGAGAGCAAATCCTTCTGCCTTTTCATTTGTTCTCAAGTACACTTTCTTTCTTTATAATGATAGTGTGCTGGGTGTTCCCACTGGCAACAGCAGTAGCAATCAAGATGAATGTGGCTGCATACTGCTCCCCAGGAATGAATTCACAGAAATTTGCCTGCAATCTGATAGATTTAGATTTGGTGAAAGGTGTGTTGGATGCAGGGTGCTCCAGGAGTTGAGTGGGTTTCGGATGAGCCTGAGTCCCATGTCCCCAGGTGATGATGATTATGCGGGTCGAGGGAACTACCCTCTGTCGAACATTAATTCCGAGACCATCAGTGCTTGATGAGCCTTTACAAGACGTTCTCAACCTATGGGTTGCAACCCCCTTTGGAGGTCCCGTATCAGATATCTTGCATATCAGATATTTACATTACGAGTCATAATAGTAGCAAAATTACAGTTATGAAGTAGCAATGAAAAAATTTTGTGGCAGGGGGTGGGGGGGGTCACCACAACATGAGGAACTGTATTAAAGGGTCTCAGCATTAGGAAGGCTGAGAAGCGCTGCTTTACAAACGACCTCTTAGTTCTGTTAATCTTGATGGTATTCTTTTATGACATTTAAGAGTTTTTTTTTTTCCCTAAGTAGTGGAAACCTTTAATAACAAAACTGTATATAAGGCTAGACTTATAGACAATTCATTCCACATTTTTGCATAGGATACTGAAACTCAAGTATGTTTGGGGCAAAGCCAGGAACAACCCACACATTTGATTCTAAGGGTTACGATCTTGGTTTCATAACTAAGAAGAAAAAGAAAAACTCAGCATTAAAATAGGAGGTCTTAAAAAATGTTCTTAGCCATGGCTGCTGCAATGCGCTACACACAGTATGGTGAGTTTCCACATACAACAGGTCTCATAGGAGCACCTTACAATGTTGTTCCCATTTATTTTCATAAACATAATCTATACTACTCATATAGCAAGAGCATCACATGACATTTTCCCCCAAAGTACTGTGCTGTTGAAGGATATGTGGCTGTAGGCAGCACACATCAGTCCACTGGAATATCCCATTCCAAAGGGCATCCTGGGAAAATCGCCTCATTTGGGACCATGCAGCCCATACTCGGAGCTCAGGTCTTCCCTTAACTCAGGTTGAGGCAGCCAAGTCGTGTGCTAAGCCAGGAGCACAGGAGACAGAAACCAACTCCAAGGGCCTTGTGGCAAGGCTCCCAGGAGCTCCCTGGAAGGGTAGCTCCTGTGTTTCCAGGGAGGAAATGCTTAGGAATGTCTTCTACACAATGTGCACTTGGAGAACTTGACTGAAGCTACATGGTGGCCATCCACAAACTACATGGTGGCCATCCTTTTTCACAGTGACACATTGTAAGACCCTTTAAAACGATCACCGGTACTCAGCTCAATATAAAGGGTCCACTTTAATGCAGGTGGCAATGGGTGGATTGGGCAGTTTCTGAGGCCACTGGCAGTAGGTCCAGGGTCTATTCCCTAGTACATGAACTGGCTTTTTGGAGCCCATTTCCTGTGGAGAGAACCTTGCTTAGCCTAGACACAGAGGGGAGGGCCTTGGTCAGGACTCCCCAAGGGAGGCCACACCCTTTCTGAGGATGGGGTGAAGGGAAGACAGGGATAAGGGGAGGGAGACCTGGGATTAAAAAGAAACAAAAACAAAAAAAAAAAAAAAAAAAAAAAAAAAGGATCCACTTCACAAATGCACGTAAAGCCCATTTTATAAAGCAGTAGGAGACAGGCTCAACAATAACTAGTAGGACACAGTACAGTTAGGACATTATTTTGATGTAGTTTGGACCTTGCCTAATCTCAGAGGCTCCTGGTTTAAAGGCTTGCATTTCCCCAGGAGGTACTTTTGGGAGGAAGCCACAGCTTGAGCAGCTGCGGCCTAGCTGAGGTCTTGCGGTCACTGGTGACATGATTCTGAAGGAGCCTGTAGGACCTCAGTTCCACTCTCCTGCTCTCAGGCATTGGCCTCACCGTGGTGAATGTGCAGCCTCACCCACAACAACAGGGTGAACTGACTGTGGAGACTGGGAGCTCAGGAGGTTCGGGCTGGCGACCCTCTCTCACTGTGAGTTCAGTATGTCAAGCATTCACTATAGTAATGGAAAGGTAACTCAAAAATTATGTTAATGTGGGGTTCCTCTTACAAACACCATATAGTAATCACGCTTTCAGTGTGACCATGAGATGAGGCAGTGCCTACAGAAGAAGCTAAAGTGGTGAACGATGCAGAGGTAGGCTTCTGTTTCCTGTTAGCTGAATAAGCACAGCAGTTCCACATGGACACGGTGGACAAAGGGATGCTCCGTGATGACTGGCAGGTGGGTAGTAAGGACAGCATGGACACGGTGGACAGAGGGATGCTCCGTGATGACTGGCAGGTGGGTAGTAAGGACAGCAGGGACACGGTGGACAGAGGGATGCTTCATGTACTATGCAGGGAGAGCATGACGGTTCGGGGAGAAGGGTTCAGCAAATGCAGCTGCAGTGTGAGTGGGGCACATCCTTCACACAGAGGAGGCCTGAACCGAACAAACAATGGTTTGGAGAGCTTTACCAGCAGGGCCTCCGAAGCCAAGGAAAGCACAGAAAATACGGACATGCGAGCAGAGGGGAGAGGCACTGTTTTCTCCGCACTGATACTAAATTGTCTCAGAAAGGAAATTTAATATGGCTTCTGCTTTGAGGGTTCCGTAAATCCTACAAGCAAACCAAGAAAAGAAATACAATCCTCTGGAATGCTCGGGGTAATTGAAAAATCAAACAAGAGCTGACAAGAAGATGAGGTTTCCTAAGGCCGTGCTCTGATACAGCACTGGACATCCCACCAAGCATAACCTCAGAAACCCTCAGCTGCTCCTTGTTAGTGGTACGGGAAACTTCCACTTGCCCCTGCCAGCAGCTCCCAGGGAAAGAACTCAACCATCTCTGGGATGGTCTTTTAAAGACTTTAGAAAGACATCAAGACACAGGATGGAAAAATCAAATTTAGGACAACTGGGAAATAGATGGCCACTAGTCTATTAATTATTAGGAAGCAGACATTAATCCCTTCTGCTGTGACACCTTCTGCTGTGACAGTGGGACAGTGGTCTCCTGTTCTTAGATCTGTGCTACCTGTGTGACACTCCGACTTAATCCTCACAGCTTATTAATACGGGGTGCAGAGCACAAAATAATGCTAAATCCCAGTGGGAATGGTATATGGGTATTCACTGAGCCAGTCTCCACATAAAAACGTTACCTTTATAGATTTTCTGACTAATGAATGAAATTTACGCCATGAGACAAAGCTGACAGGGGCAGTGTGACTTGTCCAGCAGCAGCCCCTCTTTTAGTTAGGTCTCCTTTGCCTTTAACGGAATACCTAGATCATTTCTGGAGATGTCCCCTCTGCCCATGTGATCTGTTTAACAATAACCTCCTCTTCTCTTTGCAGGAAGCTGCCACGTGAAGCCCAAAGGTTTCAGCGCCGACAGTGTCAAGGTAAGTTATTGGTTTATTAGGAAAAGTACCAACACCACATCCTTCGAAATTACTGGAATTTTATTTGCCTCAGGCTTATGACTTGCAACCAAAGACATTGTGCAAAGAAAGCAAAGATTAAGTACACTTTAGGGAGAAGGAGACCATACCCATTGGTAACACAGGAGCTCAGGTGAACAAAAGAAGCCATCGGGACACTCTAGACACTGTAATAGTCAATAGCGTTGTCAATAAAACAAGAGCCAAAGGGGGGAAAAATTCCGCAATGTTTACAGTACACATAAATCTTATACAAGTCAAAAAGCTTTTTTTTGTTCTTCAGATCATAGAGCATAAAATGGAAAAATGTATATGTAGGTGATATCTAACTACTGTACATTTGTCACCTAATAAAGTTGCTTATATGTACCACAGTGTAAAAAACAAACAAACAAGAAAACAATACTGAACAAATGAAAATCTTGAAAATTGCCTGATGAAAAATAAAATAACCAGTGGCTTTTAATGGCTTCTCCTGGTCATCAGCGCTGTAGAAGATAAAAATCTTCTCATCAGGGCAGATGATGGAAGCAAGCACATCAAATTGCTACCAAATTTGACCCACCTGTAGAAATATACTATCCACCCACGTCTTTTCCATCAAAAGCTTTTGTTTGTTTTTAATCTTTGAATCTTTGAGGCCCATTTGGTCACAATATGTTACAAATATTCGTGTGTGTGTGTGTGTGTGTGTGTGTGTGTGTGTAGACCAGTGTTTTGTTTTTTTTACACCATGATATCATATGTTTGTCTGGCACTATCCTAAAGCTAGCTCTAGATGACAATGAGGACGGAGAAATAACCCAGTGCCCGAAGGGCAAATGAACTCACTGGGGAGAAAGGGGGAGAACGGGGAAGAAAGTGTTCAGTTCTGCCGTGGTCAGCTCAAGTCCATGCTGCTCACTCATCATCAGTCCCGCTTGCCTCTGACTGTTCCTAAAAGAGAAACGGGAAGAGTGAATGCGCCCCATCTCTAGCAGTGGGAAGACAGGCACTGCGGAGGCCTGGGCACTCTGTGCTGAGAAGGGCAGTGCTGGCCTAACAATCCCCAGGCGAAGCCTGCCAGGCACACTTGCTTTCTGCCACTTGGGTTTATCTGAGCTTTGGAAAAACTGCCCCACAACAAGAAAAGATCGTACACTGAATGTCTGCTCCTTGGTAAGCCACCTCAAGAAAATACGGTGTTTTAAATGTAACCAAAATATAGTAAGGCTGATTCTAGAACTTTTGGGAAATTGTCTTTCCAGAATGAACACTGTGTAGGGGCTGGGAGGCAGGGAAGCTGAGAGTTAATAATGGAGGGGACTGGCCAAGTTTCTGTTTGTGGTTCTCCAAGACCAACAGTGCTAGACTGAGTGCTAGATTTAAGAAGCTCCTGAATTCAGGCCCTAGCATTCACTCTCTAGGGGGCCGCAGGGTACCTGGGACCCAAGTCCCATCTATGTGACGATGCTAATACAAACATTAATTATTCTTCAGATCGGAAGGTGCCTAGTTTGAGGAAATGATCCTTAAATGTTTTCCTGATAAAAATAAAGCCTCGAGATATTTAAGCTCAGGGCAGCGCAGCCGGAAAACTCTCACATCACAATGCCTATTCCTTCCCTTCCCCACCCCCCAAACCATTATTTCATCTGATCCGCTCTATACTCACAGCAAGCTGGGTGGGAGAGATATAAAATATTAACCAGCCATGAAGAAAACTGTATTTGCACATACGTGCACGAGAAGATTGAAAGGGGAGAATGGAAACCAATGGAGGAGCTTTCTCCTGCAGTGACACACACAGCTTTAGACTCTTTGTTCTAAATTGCGTAGCTCTGTTCCTATCCTCAGCGTGACCACCTCTTCTCCATCTAAGCGAGGAGGAGTGTGTACCCCGAGACAGCCTGTGAGCCGGAGACCAGGTCACTCACGTTCTCATCCTGTTCCTCGTCGCTGTCAAAATCGCTCACGACGGGTTTGGCTTTGCCTCGGTTTGGCCTTTTCTTGCCTTTCCCTGTGTCCCGGCCTTTCTCTTCTTTTTTATTGAGCTTGATTTTCACCTTCACAGATTTTGCTAGAGTAGAAACACAACAGACAACAGGAGGGCTTTTTTTGTTTTGTTTTGTTTTCAAGACAGGGTTTCTCTGTAGGTTTGGAGCCTGTCCTGGAACTCTCTTTGAAGACCATGCTGGCCTCAAACTCGGAGAGCTCTGCCTGCCTCTGCCTCCCGAGTGCTGGGATTAAAGGAGTGTGCCACCACAGTGAGGGTTTAAAATCAGCAAAATTATTATCCCACCCACAGATAACAAGCCCGACTTCCCCGAGTGCCCAAGAACTCACCGGTGTGCCAATTCACCTGTCTAGTTAATCCCTGTTCTGAGTGCAGGCATGGTTCTGTTTGGAAGGTAAGTGTCACTGGGAGAAAGATCTCAGAGTAGGGGGGGGGGGGTGGATCCTTTCCCTGGCTCCTGATGGCTCAACAGAGCAGTGACCAAATAAAAAATTTACATTAACTATTAACAAATCTTACAAAGGCTAAAAAGGGATGATTCCACTGAGTAAGCTGCTCTATTTGATTTAAAAATTCTAGTAGTTTGAGTAGCATTTTTTAAAAGTGTAGAACAAGAAAAAAAAAAAAAAAAAAAAAAAAAGAGAATCAAAATGACCTCCATCCTTTAACACTGTTTCATAGCTCTCTAGACAAAAAAAAAAAAAAAAAAAAAAAAAAGCATAGTTTTTTTCCCATAAATAAATTCTACAGGCTTTCATACCAAGAATTCAAGTAAGTACAAGTATACACACAGAGAGATGCATTTGAAGACTTATTTAGTCATTACATGGCTCTTCAGGCACACCAATTGTCTATGCCTTGCTCTTTAGGGATATAGCCATATGTATTAGCTCATACATGTAGCTTACTTCTTTTCAACATCTGAAAAGTTCCCATGCATGATTTATTTTATTGTATGACTGATTTGACCAGTCCCCCAGTGATTTGTACTGCAGCAAACAAAGCTACTGGCAAGCCATTTTGGCAGACTTCGATAGGGGCACAGTGCTATCAGCCACATAGGACAGCCTAACGCTATCTGTCAAATGCACTTTTCAATATGACTACAGATATTTCTGCTCTTACTCAGAAGAGTGCAAAACGCTACATCCCTGAAAGAACTTTGAGGGTGAGGTCATGAGGAGGTGGATCATCCACGTAAGCCAGTGTTTGTGGATCTCAAGACTGGCTATACATATTACAGTGGAGGCAGGGATTTCATCATATGTCAGACTAGACTTTCAATCTCTTGGGAGAATGTAAGGAAATAGCCTCATTAGAACAATAAGATTAAGACATTTTGATACGTTATTTAATGTTTAAGATATCATAAAAATGGAACACATTTCTCAAAATACTATAGCATTCATTTTCACCTTCCAAGTCACTGACCCTACACAATAAACCAAATGATAGTTTTGAAAGCATGTCTCATTGATAGGTGTACTAAGATCAGTTTGGTAATTATTTTCTAAGTGTGGTCTTGGCTGAGCGCAGGCACCCTGTGGGAACTTGTTAAATATGTAGGTGATGGGGCTAGCAGTCTACGTCCCTCAAGCTCTGTAGCTTCAGGCTACAGTGCTAAGGAGTGACAGGTGGCATGCACACCAGTGTTATTCTAATATCCAAAGGCATCATGTATTCTCCATGAACCTTGGCAGTCCTGAGCTCTGTGGCTGGTGTGCTCAGTTTTAACAGCCAAGAGAACTGGGCTCAATAGGTGGGAGGGGCCAGATACAGGGCCTTACCCTCTGACTCGGACTCCTCTTCATCATCTTCCTCCTCCTCTTCATTGCTTTCTTCCTCACTCTCTTCTTCTTTGGCGATTTTCTGCCGAGCACTCTTAAATACCGACTGTAGGACGATGGAGTCTTCATAGATCTAAATGGTCAAAGTGTCAACTGTTAAGAACCGTACGCTGAGACCCTCAAACCGGCAATTGTTGTATGCACCTCCTTAGACAAAATACATACACACACACAATGGCGTGCATACACATGCGGTGCCACTATTGCCTTCTCCCCCCCATGTGTACAGTGTGTGTGTGTTCATATGTGTGTGACTGTGTGCATGTGGACATCTTCCTCAGTCACTCTTCAGATTAGTTGTTGAGGGAGGCTCTCTATCTGCTAGAATTATAGGCTAGCCCCTAACCCCACCCAGATTCTGGAAATCTAAACTGGTCCTCATGCTTGTCCAATGCTTTAAACACTGAGCCAACCGCTCAGGCTACTATGAACTCCTGTGAAAACCCAGAGGCGAAACAGTGAATCTAAATATAGGGACCAGATACTCAAAGGAAGACCAAACACATGGAGCCAAACTAAACAGATTGTGTTGGGGCCGATGGGTGCAGGAGGCAGTATCTCTGACAACAAGGTCAGTATTTTAAACCACACTTACTTAAGTGGCTCTCTTATATACTGTGGCAAAGGAACCCCTTCCCTGTCGCTGAGCTTCAGTGCAGCCAAAAGTCACCTAACACACTGTGAGCCTCGTGGGCACTGTCCCATGCAGAGACAAAACACCACTGAGACAAAAAGGAAGTCTACCTAAACTTAGTCCTTCCCCTCAAGAAGTTAGAACAGAACCACTACATGATCCAGCAAGCTCACTTCTGGAGATTGGGTATACATACATGTATATAAAGTCAGTATACAGCAGAGTTCTGAGGAAATAAATCTCTTCCACATACTCATATTCTGAAGATGCACTGTAGCCAAGAGCTCAGAGGGAGCGCACAGATCTGTAGATAGATCACTGACTAAAGAAAACCTGGCAGATGCAGTGCACAGGACTCAGCCTTTGGGAGGAAGGATCTCCAGTCACCTGCTACAACACAGAAGAACCCTAGGAAACCCTAGGAAAGCCAGTCACCAAAAGATGGACAAGAAGCCATCCTACTTACGTCAAGGTCACACAAAGTAGAAGGGTGGTTATAGGATCTAGGGTAGGGGAGAACTGATAACAGCTTAGGGATCATCATTTCTAAGAGATGGAATACTTCCAGAGATCTATTAAGTACCCATGAGAACAGCCTGAGTACTACTGAACTGCACTCTTAAAAAAATAGTTAAGGTGCCAGGTAGTGGTGGCACATGCCTTTAATTCCAGCACTTGGGAGGCAGAGGCAGAGGCAGGCAGATCTCTGTGAATCTGAGGCCAGCCTGATCTACAGATGGAGTTCCAGCCAAAACAGGCTACACAGAGAAACCCAATCTCAAAAAAAAAAAAAAAAAATTAAGGTGGTAAATTTTATGTTGTCTTTTGACCACCATTCAAAAGCAACGAGTAAAGGGAATGGGCCTTTGTCCTCTGGGATTAAATTCTTTTGCTGTTGAGATGACCCACATCTTCAAGGAAGTGGTAGGTCAGCCTGAGGCAAATGGTGATGACAAGCAGGGAACATGAAGGATAGCACTGTGGAATGGGACACTGGGAAAACAAAATCTGCCAGAGGGGTGGGGATGAGCTGACTGAGGGGAGACAGGACGCAAAGGAAGACAGAGGTGGAGAGATGCCTGGAGGCATCACTGTCAACCCCTGGCTGTGAAAGAGGACTCTGCTAGACGACACGCTCCAAGCAGGATCTCTGTGTTACTTGAGCTGTCCCGTCCCTTCTCTTTTACTGGCTATGGGAGCATCAGGCCAGACACAGAGAGGGAAAAAGGTCAGTTCCCAGCAAAGGTAAGTGGGATTGAGTCAGAACTGAAGTGGAAATGTCCTCCACTCACTGTTACTTACAATGACTTCCTGACCATGGAGAAGGGAACTTAAAAGAATTTTTTTTTAAAGAAAATAACAACTAGAGGGGCGCCCTATTCTGTTTTAAATCATTATTCTTTGAAATCCTTGTGTAAAGTTAGAGTTAGAAAACTGAAGCTAGCTTTCATCGCACACAGTCTCTGTAAGTGTGGAGCTGGTACCCAACCTTCAATTCCTCCTCTAATGGGAAGATGAGCCTTGAAGGAAGCGTGAGAAGAAGCCCACCCAGCTATGGCACAAAAACCTCTCTTTATTCACACTGACAGTGGAGAACAAGGCCCTCCGGTTTCCAGTGTTCTGCTGGGGTGGAGGCAATGGTTCAAAAAGTAGAAATGAAATGTTCCACTTTCCAGAACTTCAGCATGGTTAAGGTTAGACACTTCTCAGACAACTCGACACATACCTGGGATCCTTCCAAGTTGAATGTCTGTGCGTTGTGACAGAGAAGCATGACATCTTTCTCCAGGTCACCCAGGCTCCGGTACTTATGATTACGAATTCTTTCCTGATGGGGATTTTGAACAAAACAGAAGAGGAATATGTAACTGTCCTTACTTGGGTAAGAAGGCCCAGATTTCCCTTTGTCTTCTTAGCACTCAGGCTTGTTGAGTGGGTGGGACAGCCAGACCCCAAGGGGTGCCACTGACCAAGACCACCCTCCCACCAGGGTACCTAGGGATGCGGAGAAAGGTGCACAGAATGGGAAATGAGTGATAACAGAGGGAGAGGAAGGTTCTCAACAACATGCAATGTATAAAAGCTGAGCGTTCAGTGATCAAATGACATGCATGGAAAGGTCAGCCCATTCCCACCTTTCCTGGGGCAAGCCTTGTGTAGGTCAGTGGTAAGCAACCAGGAGGCCACTACCCCAACCCCACCTAGAATCACTCCAGAGCATCCATGCATCGCCTTTGTTTACTCGAAGGATAACAGCGAACAGAGTATCTACCTTTATCTTTTTGAAATCCACTGGCTTCCTAATTAATTCATAGTATTCTGGTAACTCTTTCCTGGAAGGTAACTGAATGAAGACTTCACTGAGCTGTCGCCCTGAACTGCAGGATGGGGGAGACAAACAGAAACAAAGCAGATAAAGCACTCCTCAGGGAAGGGGTCATTTCAGAGACTGTCAACAATGCAGCAAAGGAGGTCCCATGAATACAACCATGGCGGCTCTGGACATGGAGGAAACGCCCACGGCTGCACTGGGGGCTGATGCCCCTTGGGCCGGCTTCAAATCACATGAATGCTCAGTTAGGCCCCCGTTTCTGTCACACGCACGCAATGTGGCAAGGACTGTGGACTCCCCTATCAGGAGGTAATCTCTTCGTCATGACAGAAATGTTTAAAATAACTTATTGAGCCCCAAGTCCCATTTTAAATGAATAACACACAGACATGATTCCCGCATTCCTTTGTCTTCAAATTCACTGTATATTCAGAAAATATGTTAAAATATACAGAGCAATGCAAATGCAAAGCTGTTGTATGCTCCCCCCCAGCCCTTTCTGTCTCATTCTTTTTACAGTGTTCTACATGCCAGGAGTCCCTTTTATTATCCCTTGCCCAAGGAGCCCCTTCACGTCCCCTAAATGCACTTATGTGTATGGAGCAATTTGGCACTTTGGGGAAAAAAAGAGAAAAGAACAATTGCTAATGTGTAGGCTGCCTATTTCTAGAGTCTGTGCTGTGCCCTCCCCCCACTGCATGGTGGGTTTACTGAAAGCAGGGTTAGGAGAGAAATGCTTTAGCGTTCTGTTACCCAGAAGAGCAAGCTGCAGAGCAACACGGTTTCCATGTCACTTAAGGCTGGGAAGCAGGCACAGTTAAAGCCACAAAGAAGGATAATTGAGGTTCAAGACCCCAGTGCCTGGTTTGCCCTCTCTAAATCAATAACAGCTTATGATATATGGTCTAGTCATTTCCCACAAAAATCTCACTGCCCTTTTGATGGCATCTCCGCTTCCTTTGTGATGCCAGAAACATCAAAAGATAATCATAAACCCCTGGCATGCAAATTTTGGAAGGTGACTGTATCAGTGTTTGGGAGAGCTCGGACGCAGTAGCAAGGCATGAGTGACAATATGCTGTTTTAATCCACAGTCCCAGTTGTATAATTAAAAAATAATCATAATGACAGTTATCATAAAAGAGGCATGCGCAGTAACTCAAGTGGTTGCCTAGCAACCAGTGGGGGAAAGCTGAAGTGCAAAGGGGCCTGCATAAATTAACCACTGATACTCAGTCAAAGGATGGGCAAGTTTTTCCAGCCATAGAGGGTCACCGCTTTGTTTTATTTTTAATGTGCAGAGGGGACAAACACAAGAGGTTTAAAAACAAGACTGCTGAAGGCTAGGGAAATGAGATTCCTGGATTACTGTGGCGAGAACCAAGGTATTCTCTCACCCCTCCATCCCCAGCAGGCTGAGATAGATTTGTACTTCTGTAATTTGCATCACGGTATACAGCACATTTTCTGGTGTACACAGGCTCATAATTTCTCTACTGTTTTGGAACATATAAACTCATAACTTATATTTTACCTGTTTTAAAAAGAATATCTGAATGGCACCAAAAAGAAGCCCCTCCCCCCGCCTCTCTCTCTCTCTCTCTCTCTCTCTCTCTCTCTCTCTCTCACACTCACACACACACACACACACACACACACTCCAATTCTATGAGAGTGTTTTCTTTAAAATTAACATTCTTCAAAGCCTAGCATCAGTCCACACACCAGACCTTTCTGTAGCTGTGGGTTTGATACCTGACCCTCAGTGACATCTTCAGTGTCATTTTCTATATCCCCAACAGATGGTGTCATTTTTCTATTGACAGATTACAAGCACATCTTTGCTCTGCACGCCAGTGATGGACAGACTCCTGATTTCACCCGTGCGCCTGGGAAATAAGAACTAAACACCACGGACTAGAACCAAGAATACACTAGAACTCTGAGAGCATAAATGTCACCTGCACCTGCCTTCTCTGTCCTGTCAAACCTGCAGGCCCTAGGTCCACTAGGGAGGCAAGTCCAGAGCCAGCCATGCTCATAAGAGAACCAAATGCCCCCAGACTTGGTGCCAGAACTATAAAATGACAACAAATGCATCTTATTTTACTTAACAAGTAAAGCCTGGTTGGACTAGACAGCCCTTCCTGCCTTTTCTGTCACCCTGCCCAAAATAGAGAATGAAGCACAAGGGTGATGGGGAAATCACCCAAGCAAGTTGTCTTCCAGCCACCAAGAGGCTTCTGCCTGCCTGGCCACAAGCCCCGGTTGTTTTACTAACAGCTTCTCTGTCCAGCAGAGCAGCCGCTTTCTCTGGTCTTTTACGCCTGGTGCTAGAGGTGGTGAGATAGGGCCCACTCCAAAGCCAAGGACACCCAGACCCATGCAGTCCTTCTGCCTAGGACTACAGGCATTGCTAGCTCTGCTTGAAACCCTTCCCCCTTCAAACACTTTATAACCCTCCCACAATCAAGACCCATTCTCCGTAAAAGTGGAGGCAAGCCACCTTAATATTACTTGTATTTAACTTTCTGTACCTCCCTTCTCAGAATCTTCTCTCCTTGCCACAGGATGCCAACATGTTCTATAGTTCAGTCATACCCCCCCTTCCCCCGCCCATCATCCCTTTCAGGGCAATGGCTGTTGTGGTGGCAGCCCAGGAACGGGAAATCTAGGCTTGGACAGCTGGGGCTCTCATGACCTGAAGAATGTTTAACAGTTGAGGACCTATAGAATGCACTAGGATCGAAGAACACCTTTGGAAAGACTGCAACAGTAACCACCTCCCAGCAAACAAAATAAAAGTCACCTACACAATGGACTAACTATGGAATGGTTTGGAGAAGATGATCTTCTTCTGCTGAAGCCTTTATCCCACCCTAGGTAGTTTCCATTATGTTAATTTCCACAAATTAATGCCTAAGTATAAATTATTGAGGTGCACTACTTCCTGTGGCAAAAGCAACACCCCCTCCCCTGAGTCCACACACAGCTTTTTGCACCCATTTTGCACAGCGATCTGTCTCATACTAAGATGTAAGACTCCACAAAGATACAAGGCTGGATGGGGAAGAGAAAGATCCCCTTGTACTCAGGGGGCTTACAGGGGCCCGAGGCAAGCACTTTCCTGTCTGCCAAGGTGAGTGGACACAGGGACACATATGCTGACTATGTCATGTGTGTGGAGTAGCACCATGCTCCTCCCACAAACAGGGACTCGAAAACCCTGCATGCCAGGTGCACATGGGCACACTGCTGCGATGTAGTTTGTTATGCTTCATCTGGGAACCAGTTTCCCTCCATTACCTCTACAACCCACCTGGTGATTTCCCCCATATGTCCTGACTCTAGACGGAGGCCGTACACAGTGTCTGCTCTGCATAAATACCAGCTTCACCTGCTAGGTACGTATGCTTTAGACCAACTTGCTTAGAGATACATTCCTTTTAAAACAATGGCAGGCTGTCATGTCTTCCAATGATTCCTTTCAAGTCCAAAGCAGTAAATCTGATACTGGCTAAAGCTGGGCTTTCCCCCCTTTTTTATGACCCCTTTCTCCCTCTCCCCCAGCTGCTTTTCTTGAGACAGCTTCATATGTAGATCAAACTGCCCCAGTTTACTATGTAGCTGAGGCTGATCTTGAACTTCTGATCCTCTGCAGTGCAAGGATTAAACCTGTGCCTGGTTGGTTCATGCACTACTGGGGATGAAATCTGGGACTATGAGCATGCAAGGCAAATACCCTAACCAGCTGAACTACATCCCTAGCCTGCATTTTCTTTAAGTCAACTGATCAACTTCATCAGATGATAAATAGTTGTAGACAGAACCACCTGAAGACAAAATAAGTCTTGCTTCCTTTAAGCAACAAAAGTAAAACTATGGCTGGCTTCATAAGAAAAATGAAGCTGTTATTTAGAACACCCACTTGGGGTTGGACGGATGGCATACGGAAATTACTACAGTTCTGAGGGTATCCTACATAGGAAGTAATTTGGGAAGAAAACCTGGAAACTAGAATGACATATCATGGCAGGAGGTGAGAAATGTTTCTTTCTCCCCAGCTTCCTGGGGAAGCTTTGTATACACTACTGATAAATTTCAAGATCACAGCTGCTCCCCAATTGAAGGAACCCCAGAATTCTGGCCAGGTATTTATCAGGAGTCATGAGCATGCCACAGCCACCAATGAGCTCTCTTGTCTGGGCCTCACTCTCACTGACCCACAACTGATGGCTCTGACCTCCCAGGCTCAGGTGCCATACGAGCAGTACGAAGAAGTTACCAGTATGTTCTTTTATTTCTAGTAGCTGGGTGGGAAGCTGTTAAAACTACCCTACATATCAAGGAAGAATACAGATGTCTCCCCTGCCTTATCACAAAGGAGGCTGCCATCATGAGGAAGCCAAGCCCTCAGTCAGCATCGTCACCTGACTTCACCCAGTCCAGGAAAAGCGGCACTCCAATGCTGTTCTAGTTATTATTGCCTCCCTGGGGCCGAAATCAGGATGAGAGGGGTGGCAGAGATGGCTTGGCATTACCTGCACATTCCACCAAGCTGAATGATGTACATTCCACATCCAGAGCCAATTCCCAAGTCCTCTGACTTCTACATGCTTGCCACATCATGTAAATGTAAAATACATGTAAATGAACATGAGTAAGTGTAAAAAAAAGATTAAGATGTTCAAGATGGTCATGGCAGGATAACTTAAAATGATTTAAGATGAAGGGCTCAGGATGTTTAACCATCACAGAAAAGCCAGTGATGGGATGCTAAGGAGTCTAAAGCTGTGTGGTTAAAAAGAACAGGGGAAGTGTATCATGGAATTTAAAAAAAAAAAAAAAAAAGAATGAAACAAAAAACACCCAGAGGTTATTGGTGGGAGATGTCATTCTGTAAATGTTTCTCTTGTTGGTTAATGAATAAAGCCCTCATTGGTTAATGAGGAAAGCAAGACAGGTGGGACAAGGAGACAAGGAGGATTCTGGGAGATGTAGTAAAGATTAAAGATGTAGATGTAGAGACCTGAGAGAGAAGAGGTC